GTATATATGTATATACGTATATACGTATATATGTATATACGTATATACGTATATATGTATATACGTATATACGTATATATGTATATACGTATATATACGTATATATATATATATGTATATATACGTATATATATATATATGTATATATACGTATATATATATGTATGTATATATATTGTTGACGCAAACAGGAAGTCCTCTGTAGGGTAGGCCGTCTCATTTCGGAGACCGCATGGTCTAGCCTACGCGGTCCTCAAAGGACTCGGCCCACGTAGACCGCGAAGGCTGGGTCCTCCGAAGGATGCAGCCCCTGAATTGAGACACAGCTCGTGTTCCGTTCATAACGGCTCAGTGAGAGGAAGGTGAAGAAGAGTCGGTGGAGACCAAAGCAGAGCTGAGAGCAGAGTGGAGCTCTGCTGCCCCCTGGTGGCCACACAGAGACCCGATGCAGCTTTAAGTCCTTTAACATCAGAGCGTCACGTTCCTTCCTCTCTGTTCATTCAGCATCAGGACCTGAAATAAATCAACTTCATCATAAAATATTTCTTAATTTTGAAATATTAGTTTTTTTGTCAAATTAAATATAAGTTTAATTTCGAACTTCTTGAACTTTAATATAAATCTCTGGAAGGTTTTCTTGTTTATGAATTCATCATTAAATATTAATACTTTTATTTAACTTTTTGTTCATTATAAAACTTCAACTTTATTTTGGAATATTTTAAACTTCTTTGTCAAAATTAAATCTACATTATGACCTCTTTGATTCTCCTAATAAACAAATATTAATAATTCATTTTACACCAAAGAAAACAATCTTATAAAACATGAAATATTATTATTTATTGAACACATATTTATAATAATAACATAATAACTATTGTACTTTATGATTGAAGTACATTTTGCAGGTAATACTTACATTGTATTTATAATGAAGTAAATCTGAATACTTTCCTGTTTAAAGTCTCTTTTACATCATTCCTGATTATTAATGGTGGAAAAACTGCTAAATATTAAAAAGAAACTTCCCAGAATGCCTTGCATGTCTTTCAGCTGGAAGCATCATCTGGTCATGTGACATGCTGCGTTCTCATTGGTTCAGTCCCTTTAATCCCAAACGTTCAGTAAAGGAAACATTTTAAGATGAATAAAGTTTTCTTTATTTGAACTCTCACAACATGACATTCTTCTTCTTCGTGTGTTTTATGTCTGGAAACAGTTTGAGTCAAAATTACGTTTTAAGACATAAATTCAAACATTTAATTCAAATGTTTCACAAAAAGATTCAAACAATAATTTGAGTTTCTTGTGCGGAGGAAGACCATGAGCTGTGGCTGAAAGCTCCAGAGAGAGTTCCCTTTGTCCCACTAAAGGTGCGTTCAGGGTCTGGAGCTTTCTATCGCAGCACGTGATCTTCATCAGCTGTTTTTATCATATTTATTTTTATCAATGTCATCGATGACGTCACTTGATTCATGATCAGCTATCAGTGACGTCACAGTGATGTTTTCCCCTTATGAACCACAAAACTGGATTAAATATTAAAAAGCAGCAACCTGTCAGCTTCTACAGCCACGTGGGGAAAAAGGCACAACAGTTAAAGTCTGAGACCAGGACCAGAGAGTCCAGAGAGACCGGGACCAGAGAGACCGATACGGATCAGGGGTCCCGGTTCAGAGACAGGACGAAAGGCACCAGGGCCCCCCTGGTCTCTGCGGGGGGCGGCAGCACCTCCGGCAGGAAGTCCTCCCGGTCCTCCCGGACCTCAAACTGCAGCGTCTGGCTCCGGTTCACACAGTAGATCCGGTCCCCGAGCACCGCGCAGCGGAACGGTAGCGGGTCGCGGAGCGCGAAGCACGCGCCTCCGTGCCACACCTTCACCACCGTGTTGTACTTGTACACGTTCACCTCCGCGCGCTCCCGGTCCACGTCGAAGCGGAACACGAGGCCGCGGAGCGCCACCATGTCGGTGGACCGCCGCCGGCTCTCGTTGAACGGACACTCCTCCCACTCGTCCCGGCGGGAGTCGTACCGGAGCAGCCGGTAGAAGAGCGAGCCGCCGGACACGAACAGCGAGCCACCGCACGACGTCGCCTCGTGCGCCACGGCGAAGGAGCCTTTGGGCAGCGGGGCCACCGGAGTCCACCGGTTCGCTCGCGGGTCGTAGCGCTCCACCGTGAAAAGACACTCCCCTCCGACCGCGTACAGGTGTCCGTCCATTGACACCAGTCTGAGCTGGCAGCGGGGCTGGGTCAGCGGGCGGATCTGGCTCCAGAGGCCGGTCCGCGGGTTGAAGCAGAAGACCCGATCCGAGGCTTTGGAGCTGGAGACCCGGTCCGAGGCTTTGGAGCAGAAGTCCCGGTCTGAGATCCCCCCCGCCACGAACAGGTAGTTGTACAGAGTGCACATCCCGGAGCCCCTGGCCGGGATCTCCTCCGGGAGCGTGGTTAGCACCTCCCACCTCCGGGTCTCCGGGTCGAGGGACAACACCCGCCGGTGGATGGAGTCCCCCGGGTTGCTCTCCCGGCTCCCCTCGCTGCTCTCGGCCACCGCCAGCACCTTCGTCCCCTCCATCCTCCGCGCCAGGATGCGCTCCCTCTCCTCGGCCGTCAGCCGGCCGTACACCCCGGGGGTCCGCAGCACCTCCAGGTAGTGGTCGCTCATGTAGCCGTAGACCCGGTCCTTCTCGCCCTCTGCGCCGTCGCTCTTGGCTTTAGTCAGCAGCTCGTAGCAGTTCTCCGCGCTGATGTGATGCAACACGTCGGCAGCGGATCTGAGCTGTGACCGAAGATCCATGATCCGGGATTAATGCGGATCAGATCGATCCCGGTTCTGTCAGAGACAATTATGCGTCTGGAGATCCAGACTACTGCCCCCCCCCCTCCCCCTCTCTCTATGTTCAACTTCTCCTTCCTCCTCCCGCGGGGCGCGGTGGCTGATGAAGCCGGGATTCTCCGCCTGCTGTCGGGGAGGATCGCTGCGTCCCCTCGCTGCAGAGCCCGGAGGACACAAAGGAGGCGTTCAGTGACCTGCTCCTCCTCCTCCTCATGCAGAACAACACACACTGTTCCCTTACGATTCCACCAAAGTAAAAGTACACAAGCATTATCATCAAGATATACTTAAAGTAGTAAAAGTACTCCTGCAGAATATTCTATATTATTGTGTTAATCAATAATAATACGTCATTATTTATCAGTTCATTAATAATCTGAATCGCAGTAAAAGTACAATGTGTACTCTGAGAAGTATTAAAATACTAAAGAGAAGTACCTCACATAGTACTTGAGTTTAGTACTTCAGTAAATGTACTGGGCTGCATTGACTTTAAGTACATGTACTTTTACTTCAGTGACATGTTGAATGAAGGACTTTCACTAAAATAAGATCTTCAGTTTATGAAGTTATGAATCAGAGAAGTGAAAATAATTATTGATGAAATGATCCTCAGCAATAAAGTTTACATGTTCAGATGAGACGTTAAAATATAATATAATATACTATAATATAATATAAGCCATACATCCCTGTATATAGGGAGCAGTGGGCTGCCAATGAAAGGCGCCCAGGGAGCTGTTAGGGGTTCAGTGTCTTGCTCAGGGACACTACGACACGTGACACGTCCCAGTCGAGGATCGAACCGTTGACCCTGCGGTTACCAGAAAACCCTCTTAAGCCAGGCTCCCCCTGGATAATATACTATACTATACTATACTATACTATACTATAATATAATATAATATAATATAATATAATATGAAATACTATAATA